TCCATTTGCGTGTCTCGTTGTAGGTTGCTAGTCGACAGATGGACTTAAGTACCGACCTCGTAGCTGTAACAATTCACATGAAGGCCACGCATTCTGCACCTTCGCCAGTACTATATGATTGTAACTGGCGTTCTCTTTCAATTGACCAGGTGTTTGTTAAGGTTAGCTCATACCAATTCGAATATGTATGCACAGCTGAGCTGAAAATGAAGTTAAATAAATATTCGATTTCCACTTGAGATGAGGGGCTATAACTTTGTGCTGCCAGGCAATTGAAATATGACTACCCCCAATGTAGATTTTCTCCCTTAGTTGTCCAAGTAACCAAGTGTCCAATCTGTGTTATCATACATTCAGGGAGGTTTGCCCTTTGGATCAGTCAGTTGCAATCTCTAGCGTACTTGCTCAATTGTCACTGGCTTTCAGTTTATTTTCCTAGATAATTACGATGACAACTTAATCAAATCTTCTTTCTTGTGCTCTGTAGTCTTTCGGAAAGACTACTTTTAATTTTCGCTTTTTAATTCATCAACACCCAATGCCTTGTCTATCAGTTTGACTCTTTGCACATCAATTCCCTAGCGAGTAAGCAGGAAGAATAATTTAAAGATTGTGCCCATCTGGTATTCATGTTTATTTCTGTTTTTTTCCCTTAGATACGCTAAAGATCTGATTTTGGCCTGCTGTATAGTGCAAGCTCTCAGTCTTATCCACAATGGCTTTTGGTTACTGCTGTTATTTGTAAGTTTTGCCGACTTGAAGTCCTCCCGTTTATGTAAATAGAAACCCTGTTTTGAATATCAACCCTTTCTTTGTAGGTCTTAATTGTGTACTTTGTTTCTTTCCAAAAGTGCTTCGTATGCCAGCTTTTGTAGCGTTTGTTTACTTCAAATAGAAAAGAAGAGATATTTGATGACTAGCATCTTAGGTTTCGCCTATATGTTCTGTGTCGAGTAAACACAGACGTGCGGCCAGTAATTCCTTTCGGACAGATAAGCAACGCGTTTCTAACTGGGTAGCCTTAGGAAAAAAAAACATGCAAGGCGTCCGAGTCTGACCTCTACTAAATGAGCACGAAGCAACTATCGAAACACCCAAACATGGCAGTGCCACATAATTGGTATCGCTGCCAGCGACGTATAGTCTTTACGCACTATGTTCTAGTAACGATTTCCATCTGATGATTCGACTTCCAAGCGTCGCCTGGTCGTCAGTCTTCTCTCCTGAGGTTTGCCATGGATAAAACAGCTTTGGTGGTGTAAAAAACTGGCATGGTAGATTCTTGGTTACGAAATCGTGCGTTGAGCGTTTTGAAAATCTCTCCTGTTAGACTACGCTCAGTAAACAAAGAACTCGAGTTTGAACTCCAGGCAAAAAATGACCATCTTGGTCTCCTTTGTCTTTATTGGTAGGTAAAAATTCGACTGTCG